AGGCAAGTTGACCTATTCTTAAGGACTAAGGATACCATCTTATCATGATTTAACGGGAAGTTTAGTCCTAACGTGATTCACATTTCTCAAACTTTTGCTGTGTTCTTACGCAACAAAAGTATCATTTCCAATCCAAAGAATCTATTCTGAGCTATACGTTCGGTAGATTACTTCTTTTTTGTGTTTCACTCAAATTAATAGTTAACTGTGGTTTTGCCTCAGCTCACTATCGGTTTTTTTTATAGTTTTCACGTAAAGGCTAGCTTTAGCTTATCGTTAACTATTTTTATACATTTTTGATAGTTTTTGTTTACTGTGTGTTTTTTTTAACGGTCCTAAATTTACTGCTTATATTTTTAAGACAGTCTAAATCACCAGCCATGAAAAATTCATGCAAGAGACCTGGTTGCCGTTTTGCCGTTACATCTGGCATGCAATGTGACAACTGTAAAGGTTGGTTCCATGAGGCATGTACAGATCTAACAGCAGCAGCCTATAGCAGACTCAGCAAGTCTGATCGTAGGTGGGTATGTGCTACCTGCAACACCGATACGGTAGTTATGTTGGGTACTATCATTACTTTACTGACAGGTCTGAGAGATAAGTTGTCTAAGAATTCGGTAAATGATAGCATCATGACGGGTAACAAAGCTGGAACGCATAGGGCAAATAAGAAAAAGGATACTGACAGGTCGGTTATCGACGGTGCTGTTAACAGCACGAGTGATGATGTGCTGAAACTCAGCACCATCTTAACATCGACTGTCATCGACTCCCTCAGTAAACTTGGGTCCCCCGAGGAACGGTCCTTGAATGAGACAGTGGTTCCTAAAAATCCTGTAGGTGGATGGACTCACGTTAACAGGAGTAATAAAGCCCAAGCGTCCCCTCTGAAACTGAACGTCCCAAGTATCGTGCGGAAATCAGTTGATGCTTTGGCCGCACAATCTACACCCAAGACTGTCCGCCCGGTCATCACTGAGCCCAGGAATCGAAAACGCGCCTCGACATCCAAACAACAAGATACCAAACCTAGACGCCCTGGAAAACCTGGGAAATCAATTGCGGTTCGTGACGACTCTGTCATAATCATGAACCTTATTGACAACCCCGACCTTCCTCTCAGTTTGCGGGACAAAAGCGATAGGATGCTCTGGGGAGAATTAAACAAGAGGCTTGAACTCCCTAGAATAGAGCCTTTGATCGTCACACGGCTCACTCGGGGGAAGGACTCTAACCACCTAAACCACCCGAGGCTGCTTCGTGTTACACTTAAGAATGCCTCCGACGTAGAGGACGTCCTGCTAGCCAGTCACTTACTGAAGTCCGATGGGAACGTAAGAATACTGCCCGACATACCGTATTCTGAACGAAATCTCATCCGGAACATCCCTAAGGAATCTCGCGAGGCGTTTTTCCGTGGACGAAATATCATTGTGCAAGGTGTGCCGGAAAATATGGACCCAGCTCAAGCAAACTCTGATATTCGGGAATGGAAATTCATTAAGCATTCCTTAAAACTCAAGAACATATTGACCCAACAGGTAATGAGACTGGCCAAGAGAGACGGAGACTCTAGGCCCCGGCTGCTGAAGATAACCTTCCCCTCCTCCCACATGGCGGCTGCAACTCTGGAAGCATTTCGTGCCAATAGACGTTGGTTGCCAACTGGCATCCATATGCATCCGGATAGGCCCCATGACAGCAGGATCAAGCACAAACGAAAGCTGGAGCTGACAATTCCACTCGTGGACTGTCTTGATCATAAAAAAACGTGTAAAGGACAGGGACTACCAACTCGGTAAACATCGTATAGGTAGGCTACCTGTCCACTCACACACGGCTGATATAGACAAACAAGAAGAGGCTCACGCGTTCCAAATTGAAAGCATAAACTGCCTATACACGAACGCCGCGAGTTTGCCAATCAAAATGGATGAGCTATGTGAACTTAGCAACGCTAATGATGCCCATCTGATAGGAATATCGGAAACTTGGATAACGTCTCAGTTTACGGACCAAGAGTTAGCAATAACTGGGATGTCTTTATTTCGCAACGACAGAAAAACAGGAATGGGGGGTGGGGTAGCACTATACGTACGGTCATGCCTGGATGCGCACCAACTTCACAACCAAGTGTTTCACAATCTTGACGAGTCAGTATGGTGCTCAGTAAGATTATCTACCACCTCGAGGTGCCTAGTTGGGGTCGTTTACAGGAAGCCCACTGCCGACATCGAATATGACAAACGTCTGCTGGAAGGATTAACTCGCTCTACGCGTCTCGGATTCTCTCATATCCTGATTCTAGGGGATTTCAATCTCCCTAGAATCAACTTCGTGGAACATACATACATTGGTGGTGCCAACTCTACTGAAGCTCTGTTCTTCAACCTTATCGGCGACCTGGGATTATTTGAAAATGTGAAGTCGGCAACCCGTTGGAGAAACAGTCAGACGCCGTCACGCTTAGACTGGGTATTCACAAACGAAGAATTCCTAGTTGACGACCTCTCAATCCTGGCTCCCCTGGGGAAAAGTGATCACGCCGTCTTATCATTCAGCTTTGTCAGCAAGACGGAGCTACGATATCCTACTAGCAACAAGCGCTGGGATTTCAAACGGTTGAATGTGTTAGCTTTACAGGACTATCTTCAACAGGTGGATTGGGATGTTCACCCTCAAATTGAAGTGGATGCTCATTGGGATTTTTTACTGCACACGATCTTATGTGCTACTGTGCATTCAGTTCCTAAAATGGTCCCAAAAAGCTACAAGCAACCTACAATCATCAAGAACCGCACTCGTCGTTTGCCAAGCCGCAAAAGGCACTGTTGGGCTGAATATAAACGAACTGATAACAACGGCGCGTACAGGCAATACAAACATATAAGGAACATATGCACAAAGGCAATAAGAGAAGACAGGCTTCAGTTCCAGACCAAGCCTATCGATAGATTCGTCTCCAATCCGAAAAGCTTGTTCAGTTATGCAGCTTCTCTTCGACAAGGCAAAACTGGAGTTTCCCAACTGCTTGGTCCTAATGGCCCGACCAACAACGACAGTGATGCCGCTAACCTTTTGGCTGAACATTACTCCCGGACATTCCAACTGACCCACATCAACCATACTGACGAAAGCTTCACCTGCACCTGTACAGGACTTTCCGAAGTGGACCTGAGTGCTGACTTGGTGCTCCGTAAACTGCAGAACCTAAAAAAAGACACTTCTCCTGGTCCGGACATGGTTCATTCCTCTGTATTGAGGGAAGCAGCTTCAACCCGGTCAACACCACATAGCGTGATGTTTGCACACTCGCTAAGCAGAGGCAAACCACCGGAAATATGGAAGCTGGCCCACATCACACCAATTTTCAAAGGAGGTCGACGCAGTGAACCCTCAAGCTACCTACCAGTGGCCCTTCTCTCCATACCTTCAAAAATTATGGAATCCCTAGTATTCGACGGCATACTAGAACACTTATCATCCTCAAAGTTCTTCTCGCCTCAACAGCATGGTTTCAGAAAAGGTCATTCTTGTATGACCAACCTGCTGACTGCGGTGGACAGATGGACAACCATCCTTGATCGCAAGGGGAAGGTTGACGTCATCTACCTGGACTTCTCAAAAGCTTTTGATAGGGTCAACCATGCATGTCTTATCAAGAAGCTTGGACGATTGGGTATAAAACCCCCTTTAATTGACTGGCTCACTTCATACCTAGAAAACCAACATTTTAAGGTCAGGGTTAACTTCACTCTCTCTCTCAGGCTATGGAATGTCCTAGTGGGGTCCCCCAGGGTTCAATACTAGGACCTCTTCTCTTCTTGATTTATATTAACGATCTTCCTCAACAAGTTTCATCTGATTTATTGCTTTTTGCTGATGATGTGAAACTTTGGAGAGAGATACTTACTCACAATGATATACTAGTTCTTCAGGAGGATCTGACTCGACTTCAAAGTTGGGCAGACGACAACGGACTTACCTTCAACACTTCAAAGTGCAAGGTAGTCCATCTGAGACATGTTGCAGACTATAGTTATAACTTGGGTAACTCACCTCTAGAAGTTTCCCAAGTTGAAAAAGATTTAGGAGTGTTGGTACCCTACGACCTGAAATCGTATGCGAACTGTGACAAAAACGCCTCTCAAGCAAACCTTGCACTGGTAACATTGAAGCGCATTTTTGGCCAGTTTGACGGTAGAACCTTCCACATAATCTTCAACAGTTTTATTCGTCCCCACTTAGAGTACGGAAACATAGTATTTCCTCCCTCCCTCCAAAAGGATAAGGTCACTCTGGAACGTATACAACGTCGAGCCACGAAATCAGTTCGGGGACTCAAATTCAAACCTTATGAAGAGCGCCTCAAATCACTTAACCTTTACCCGTTAGAGTATAGGCGTCTTAGAGGTGATCTTCTTATGACTTATAGTATCCTTAATACTTCTGGTCATCCCCTTAAACAACTTCTTAAGCTTAGTCATAACACTAACCTCAGAGGTAACACCCAGATATTGGAGACCCTACATAGCAGAACAGACTGCAGACACAACTTCTACTCCGTTAGAGTTGTCAAGTGCTGGAATTCGCTGCCGACTGAGCTAGTCCAAGCGACCTCCCAGGAGTCCTTTAAGAGAAAACTTGACTTATTCTTAAGGACTAAGGATAACATATTATTATGATTTACCAAATTCTTTTTTTCCCTCTATTATCGTTCATATACCTAGGTTCTTGCCTGGAGGTATTGGTGATCCACTGCTACCAGACACGGAAGCCCGTTAAGCGAAAGCTTCTTCTATTCCGTCCTCAACCATTTGAACCATTTGAAACAACTTCTTTCCCCCCCTCTATTATCGTTAATATTCTTAGGTTCCCGCCTGGAGGTATTAGCAATCCACTGCTTCTAGATATGGAAGCCCGTTAAGTGAAAGCTTCTTCTGTTCCGTTTACAACCATTTGAACCATATAGACCATTTGAAACTAACCTTGCATTCGACTTCGAAGGTCGGCGCGCCTATTGGTGTGACTAGGACACTACAGTTTTTTTTGGTATTGAGTACTACGTTGTGTGAGAGATATAAGGAAGTACTCCTTATTATCGCTGGTTGGTTTTGTTGTTGCCAGATGTAATCAAACTGTGTGTGGTCATCAAATAATAGCCGGATTTTCCCCTTTGTTCTCTTGGGGAATACTGTACGTACATTTTAGCACATTGCCTGACAACTCATCTTGCCTACGACTAAAATATACACAGGAGGTTTTGTGATGTGAGTTTATTTCATCTTTTAAATGAATTTTCTTGATTTAGGAAACACCACCTTCAGTGTTTATGGAACAAAGTTGAAAATGCTCCTGTCATTGTTAATACAGATGTTGTACGAACAGTATACAGATTCAATCAACCTGCATGTTCCCTTGGAAATTGTCAGTAAGTCACAGGTCGATGTGCGTTTTTAATACAGTCCATAAATACATGTTGACTTGGGTCGAACTTTTGGATTTCGATACTGCCAGTTTTATTTATTTATTTATTTAAACATATAAATATTGGTACAAGGAAGCACCAGATATATATGCGCCTCACAAATCTCATTTGATTTGTGTGATACTTTCCAGGTGCCCAAACGGAAGCAGGTGGTTTTCTTAGGGGGCCACACCCCGAGCCTTTGACCTGAAGGTCTAGTCCACAAGGCAGTGGAGCATCGTAAGGAGATGCAGTCCCATGGTAACCGGTGACTAACGATTGGTTCATACGCCATCTGTTCCTTCAGGATACTGGAGCCCATGTGCACCATTGGTTTGGAATCAGGGTTTTCTAACTTCCTCAGATGTATGCTTCGTGTCCACCAAGCCGGTTAAAGCTCCGGACATTCGCTTTTCGTCTTCCCAATTTTGTAAACAACACCCCCGCCACGAGAAGACAGTGAGTAGGACTTCCCTGGCAGAGGCTATATATTCGCGTGTCCATGTGAGAGTATTTCGAGAGGGAGAGCGGACTCTCCCCACTCTCGGCTGTACCGGGGCATTTGGGGGCTTGCCAGTTAGCCTTTATCACATTAACCACCCAGGATATCCTGGTTTATGTGGTTTCCATGGAAGTATTAAAACAGTGACCCGCAATATAAATGATAATAATGATTTGATCATGATGTGTGACGTAGCTCGGAACGCATATACCCTAGTTTTGAGATCGGTAACATTAAACTATACTGCCGACCTTTGAACGAATCTTAAATGACCTTGAGAAATATTAGCCAATCAGAAGACAGTATACAGTGAAAATATATTATACAAAACCAAAGAATTAAAGTGGAAACACCTCTTTTACATGGGTCAAAAACTTCTGAAGGTCAGATATAGGTTCAGAAGTTCTAAAATCTTAGTGCATACGGTACAGGAACACATCCATATGGCTTCATAGTAGTCGACCTCTGAAACCATAATAAGGTCTCAAAAATTCTTTTAGCCCCGACCACATAGCTTCAATAATGTTAGTATATTGGTATGGTTTACGGGTTAGGGTTAGAGTTAAGATTTAGGTGTAGGGTTTAGGGTTATGGGTGAGACTATAAGTTATGGACAACCTTTGAGCGACGCTAGAGTGACTCTGAGAGTGTCAACATAATAACGAGGACCTAATGAGGGTTATAAACCTGTGTGAAGAATTCAAATTATGATTTACAGTTCATGATTAAGGCTAGGAATTATACTTAGGGTTTTCATCACGAACTGACATCAGCTGTAATGCCAAAACTCTATTTATCGAAATGGATAATTGAATTTCGCGCCAAAATCTTATGATCACTTCTATTGTAGACGCTAAATTATCACGTCTTCCCTAAAATCCGCTGTAAACCGACCGTACGTAAGTATCAGGTACCGAACTTAGCGCCGTGACCTTGAAAACCCGCGGAAGCTTCTGATTGGCTTGGCAGTATAGTTTAATCCTACCGTCAGATTGCTTCTGTTACACTCAAAATAACCACACAAGTTACTCTTGACGTTGCATGTTGAAAACAGCGCGGGTATACTTGATCAAACCACTGGTTCTTTTTAGAAACACTTGTCAGCTAGATATTTTTTCCCATAAATAAGTACTCTAACGTTTCCCGATTAGCTAAATTATGTCTTTCACTTTCTCTACAGAACGACATGTAAATACTTATCTCCTTGCCTAAATGGTTTACTCAAAACAAATGTACTGAACGAAGAAACATGCGACAAAACTGAATCAGAGTCTTCTGCTGAAAAGTTATTGACGGTAAGTTTTCTTAACACATGAGGTTTTTGGGTCCATGTGAAAAGAAGGCAAAAACTTGGGATGTAAATACTTTACCCTTATTTGTTTGATATTTTAGTAACCATTACCAGCTAGAAACCATGTTCATGATATTTGAAGTTGTGCGTATATCCAGCGTAATTCCTCTTAGAATTTCTAAAATAAACCCATTCGAAAAGTTGTTACTGTTTTACGAGTTCATAATTCAAACTACCATTTGTCAAAGTAAGCTGTATCTGATTAAAAATGATCAGTTTACGGTTTTTACAGTACTTTTATCCCCACTTAATATGGTTTGGTCAATATATTTTATACATAACTGATAATTAAAGGCTTTTGTTATCTAGACGTATCACCTGTAATTTCCACACACACTTGTTCCAATAATACTTTCTTTTGTCCTTGATTGTTGTTTGTGCTAATCCTTAGTTAGGAAGTTCATGTCAGTGATATTACCCCCTATATATTTTCATTTTTTACTAAAACTAGGTAACAAAACCAGCGTTTTGGAGTAGTGTGACGAAAATAGTCTTATTCAACATACTCTAAATTTTATGTATTGTGTGACTAAAGAATGAGAGGTTAGATCTAGTCTCAGTCAGTCAGTCAGTTACAACGTAGAACTTCGTACGTACGTTGCCATACCACATTAGCACAGAGATCCAGTTGTCGATTCAAATCCCGTAGTGGTAGAAGTAGTAAGAGTATAAGTATTATGTGAAAGATAAGGGATTGAAGATGTTATTGAAGGGGTATAGTACGGTGAAATAAATTTGAAAAGAGAAAAACGATACGGACATGAAGAATTCAGAAGATTAGAATTTGGTAGAACACAAAGAGTGGATGCACCTTCGCCATTTCAAACGATTTTGAGCCATGTCATTCAAGGTCTCTAACCATCGATTGCTATCATCTCGCGTCAACAAGTGAATCTCCCGGTAAATGTTCAACTCTAGGAGATTGAGATGATGAAAGTGTTATCTCTAAAAGCATGTCAACGACAAAGTTAAACAAGAATGGAGAGAGTGGACAGCCCTGACGAACACCACTTGAGGTAACCAATTCTGATGACAGTTCGCTATGGACTCTAACTCGACCAGTTGTGTTCAAGTAGAGAGCCTTTATGAGGTTAATGTACTTCTTTTTCTTCTTCTTCTTCTTCTTCTTCTTATTCTTCTTCTTCTTATTATTATTAATGGCTTCTTTGGTACTCCTTTCACCGACAAGCACTGCCATAGAACCTCACGATCAACGGAGTCAAATGCCTCCTTAAGGTCAAGAAATACTACGATTGTGGGACGTCTGAATGTATGCCTATGTTCTAGGACCTGACGTAGGGTGAATATCTGGTCTATGCAACCACGTCCAGGTCGGAAACCAGCTTGGTTTTCTCTAGTCTGCACTTCACGAGCTTTGGTTAGGCGTCCAAGTATTATTGAAGCTAATATTTTAGACACTATATTAGTCAAACTGATTCCTCTGTGATTGTCACAGAAGGTCTTTTGTCCTTTCTTATAGACTGGCACAATCAGTGATTGGGACCAGTCAGATGGAATTACGTTCTGTTTCCAGATTCTACCTAAGACCTCAGTCAATCTCGTTGCTAGTACTGGACCACCATCCTTAAAAATCTCAGGAGTCAACCTGTCAGGGCCTGCGGCTCTCCCTCGCTTCAGATTTCCTATAGATCTAGTCTATAACCTGTTTATTTGAGAATAAATAGCTGTTAATCATTTTTAAGGAAAACTTTAAATACCTAACTTAGTTTTTTCGATCATGTAAAAAGTTCTTAAATCTTTTCAATTAATACTAGCAGTGCGAGTGAAAGTTGGTGTAAAACTATGTTAGGTACAATAAAGCGACTCTTTTTTTAACCTTAATTGGTACTGATCATATTGTTTCTTATTTTTAAATCTAGTTTGTAAGAAGAAACTAAAATGATAGCATGAGTTTGTCACTTCGTCAGCCCCAACAAAATTTGATTGACCCAACCCCCAACATAAATTTTTAGTAAACGTTGGCTTTTTAACATCTTTCGTCATTCATAGCACTCGAATAATATCTAACTTATCCAGGAAAAAGTACACTGTACAGTAGTCGTTGTTAAACTACTGCCGAAATGTGGAGAATAGTCTACATGGATTACAGGTATTCAGTCACAGCTTCAGTGTTATTCAGGTGTTGTTAAATCTTATGAAGAACAATGTTAGAATTAAAGTTTAGTTCTAAATATACTGCCTTAAGCAGTTAAGTAATCAATTGTTATTAAGGTCACTATAAAGTCACTCACTTTAGCCTTTGACTTAATAAAATTTTGAGTTTTGTCTGGGCCCGATGATTTCCTAAAATCAGAACTTAGGGACCGTGATCTATGTATTTCTAAACCAATCAGAATAATGTTGGTGTACTCATTCTGATTTCTGAGCATCTCATTTACCTTGGATTTAATTCTTTCTGGTTGAGATTATGAATCGACCAGTGTTAGATCTCCACTAAAAACTTGGAAGCGCTGGATGGCCGTTTCGTTCTACTGTGGGACTCCTCATCAGTGCGCATCCGCGATTCCGCACGTGGGACTCGAACCCAGCACCTTTGGTCTCGAGCGCGAACGCTTAAACTCTAGACCACTGGATAGGCATCTAAAAGTGTTAGTGTGCATTCCTTTCTCTTTGTTTAAAGTTCTACCCCTTTTGATTTCCTACGGTATATTTTGCCCGTATTTGCTACAATTAATAAATTTAGGAAGTTATATGATAACACTAGTTCTCACAGTAAATATATCCTTAGTTAGTCAACAACGTTGTAAGGTGTTGCTGCGTTACAATTATATGTTGTTGCCAAATGTAAACGCATCTAATCATTCTGGTACTCCACACTGGTTCATACACATAGGCTGACTGTAAATGATACTTTAAAAATTCGTTTGAGGTCGTGCCACTTTTTATACCCATACTTTTTTGTAAATGAGTTCCGAGTTGATTCTTTTGCTAAGACCTTGAAGCTCACTGCAAAACTCTAACGTTTTTATCTTGGCGTTGATCAAAATAAACAGGAGCGTGAATTAACATGCATCTTGAATGTATTTTTTCGTCAATGTTTTTATGTTTTAAACATTTAGCATAGCCGCAATGGTTTGAAGAATTATGGGAGTACGTGTTACTTAAATGCATTCTTACAGCTTTATTTTCGGTTCAAAGAACTTCGAAAAGCAATATATGATATTCCATCACAAGGTGGGTTTGTTTATTCTTGAAGTTCTTTGCATTAGTAATCCCAGCGTTTCATACTGTTCACTTGTTTTGTTTGAAATATCTCAATAATTACTTAGGTCGAGCTTCAAGTTTCCCACTATTACTGACCTAGCCATCATAATTTCAGTCTGCCTGTTATTCATTTGAATAAAATTGTTTATCAATATCAACTTCATACTAAAGGGAAACGTTTTCTTTTGTATATCCCCTTATACTAGATCTACCTATAATTGGTTATTTGGTCAAAATTAGCAGTCAGTCAGTCAGTCAACTACAACGTAGACCAGGCACACATATGCATCGGTCCAAGTTGCCATACCTCATTAGCACAACAAGATCAACACCGAATTCATAGTAGTTAATTTAGTGGTGGTAATATATAAAAGAAAGGTTGTATATAAGGATATAGTATAGGAAAGAAGACAGATATGAAGCAATTTTAATCTCAAGATGTAGGGGAAGATAAAGAAGTGTATACACCTACGCCATTGTGATCGATTCTGAGCCATATTACCCAGAGTCTCCAACCATTGGTTGCGATAGTCACGTGGACCCCAACCAAGTAGTCTGCATCTACCAACATGGCTCAAACTAGAATGGTCAAAATTAACTAGGAATTAGGAGATGAAGTATTAGTTTTCATCTGCATCGGGATATTTGATTCGTAGTTGATGACAATTTTGAGATATGGACCTAATTATTTTAAATATATCAGCCATAAGTAGTAAAAACACTGTTTTCCACAAAATCATTTGCTCAGATTTCTAAAATTTAAAGATAGATATCAGTCGAAAAACCATGAAATACCAGACTCTTCAAACAACAATAGACAAACCTTTCAGTGCTTTTTTTCTTATGGTCTGATCGATATCGATAGGTGATAAAAATGAACTATTTTCATATTTTATCTAGTAACAATTGACTTATTTACTTGTTTATTCTATTTTACAGCTGATGAAACCGGTATAATACACCAGCTACAATTAATATTCAGTCAACTTCAGTTAAACAATTCAGGGTAAATTTGTTTATTCAGACTACTTTGAAGCGATTTCTTTCTGTTTTAACACCTATATTTATTTAAATATATGTATGTATATAAATCGACAAGTGTCTTTGTACATTCTATTTTTTTTAAATTCTGATATTTGTAACTGGTACATTTTAAGTTGAAAAAATACAGGGTGAAATCAGAAATATTTGGTTCGGAGTTAAACATTTTATTGTCATTACTACCCGGTTGCTTCCTTTCTACTCGATTTTATGAGACTCCATCATCTTTATGGCTGGCGGTAGTTGTGTGTCGTAAGTAGTTAGAAAATTGTAAATGCACATCTAATTAATGTTACGAATTTCGATTAAACTTTTATTCTTCAGCAATTAACTGTCCATTTAAAGGAACCGATGTGCAACTATAAGTTTACACATTTATCTATAACTACTGCTAATAGAATGAGGTCGATGGCAGTCAAAATGTTGGCAAATCATGATTAAATATTTTTCCTTTTTATTGTTTATATATGTAATCGACATTGTTTCTTGTCTGAGATTGAGCAACTCTTCATAAGCTATTAACTATTCAATCACTGAACTTTTCAACTTTAATTCCCTCCTTTTTTCAGACATTGTATGCATTGTGTTATTCATTTTATTAATGATTGACATTAATTACCACTCACCTCAGTATTCTTTTTCATTTCTTAGCATTGTTGATCCAGGAGGTTTGATTGAAGCATTGCGGTTGTGTAATACAGAACAACAAGTAAGAAAATACATGTTCACAGTATATACATGCTGGTTTTAATCTCATAAGACATCGCTGACAATTCACAGTGTAATTTTTGTTCATGCAATAGCACAGTAATTTGTTATTTAACTTCCAAAAATTAATTCGCTGTATTTTTTCAGTTTTTTTAAATTGTGTCAATTTTTTTCAGGATGCCCCTGAATTCCACTGTTTATTTATGAATTTATTGGAAGCACGTTTCCAGCACGTTGGTGTATCTGTTATTGACAATTTGATTAGAGGAGAATATATTTATGAAAATAGGTGAGTGATACATCAGTATTTGAACGTTGTGGCTTATTCCTCAATGACTTTACTCAGACTAAATCAGTATTACTATTCGTAATAGTAATACCGATAGTGGTGGTAACACTAAGTTTATTGCAATTGTTAGTTTTCTTCATACACTGATAGTCGGGAAAATTATTGTAGGGCAGGAAGCGTTAAAAGTTTATTACTTCTCAGGCGCCCTTACAGGAAGCCTATAATTCCTACAGTTGACTTGTACCATTTCACCGTTGAGTTGTGATCGATTTCTGTTATAACTTGACTATCATCCAGTGACATTGAAGAGTAACTACCTTTGTCGCTACTTGGTCACAATTTCCTCTTGAAACTTCATAAAATATTTCATCTCGAAGCTGTCAATGTTTATTCGTTGATGCATATTGACTCCTTCGATTATGAAAAAATTCTTTTATATTACTATCGACTTTAAACAGCTTTCTTGTCATGTAGGCATTTCTTAATTCTTGGCTGTTTGAGACTAGAAGGTTTCACAGGCGGAAAGTGTGGAAAACCTTATCTATGATCGGTTTCTCAGTATTAATGTTTATCATGACCAAACAAAAATGGCTGTTTTTATTCGTGAAATGACCAAGGTTTCATTGACTTAACACACTTCCTAAAGTTCATCTAACTAGCGATAATTGTTCCCTTAATTAAAAGGATTTCTTTCCCACTATATTCATTTATTGATAGAAGTATATGTATCTGTAGTGAACAAGAACACTAGTTGAGGATAATCGAATGTATTTAAGCACAAATTACAGACTATCTCACTAAATTCTGATAACCATACAGCAAACAGTTAATTTGCAAAACAACAACCAATTGTCTCAATCTTCACTGTTCCTTCTGTAAATTTCAGTTCATCTTCTCTAATTTTATTGTTCATGCATTTTCCTACCATTCTATGTCTGACCATCACCATATACTACTTATGTGGACATAAGTAGCCCACACAACATATCTATTTAAAAAAGCATTATTTCTTAGTAAAACATTTATCGGATTTTCTTTCCAACTGGATTTTAACCGAAGTAGTAGACATCAAACAACTATGCCAAACTGTAAATATTCATATATACCACTCCTTTGATAACACGAAATTTATCTTATTGATTATACCATCCTTATAATTAAAAAAAACAAACAAAAAATTTCAAAGTTGATATCCTTCTCCTTCTCAGTTGTGCGGATGTTTTCATCATTTTTCTTATAATGCTTTTGTCGTTTTACTCTTTTCTTTCGCTCCAAATAACAAATATTTTCTTGAGATTTTATTGATCAAACTGTCATGAAAGAAGTGCACACTTAACAGTTTGTTATTTCATCTAGTTACAATCTATTGTTTCTATTCAAACACTACAATTTTAATAATAACTGTTTACACTATTGACTTAAGCAGTTGAGAAGAGGATAAAAGAGTATATGCACTGGTGACTAGTTGTTCTGTTCATCATCTATATGCGTAGTTGATATTTTTCTTTAAAAAGTACTTAATTCCATGTATTCTTTGTTTCCGTGCAAAATGTTCTTCACTGGGCGACTTTATTCAACTTCTCCTCCTGTTTTTCAAAGATCCTTCATTATTGAAAAAATTACTAGTCAATAATTCGACAAACTACAGTCCGAAATGTGAAAGTATTGTATGATTTAATGTTATATTTATTATTTGAGATTACAATTATACTGTCGAAACTGTTAAATCAGTGTACAATCTTATGGCGATCCAATTCTATGGATTAATGGTGTATTGTTTCTTGGGTTTTTGTGCTCATAGTATTTAAAAAGTGGTGAAACGGTAAAGTATTGAGATGATGAAGAAAATTTGTTGCACGGGTGGATGATTTTGTTAAAGTTTTCGTTCTCTGTGCTAGTTGGCTCAATTGTAAGGTAAACATTATGAGTCTGGTATTAACGTTATAAAATTAGAATAGTTACTAAATTGAAACATCTCAGATTAGTGTCTTCGAATTTCTCAGAGTTAGTAGTCGATTTTTTTACTCATACAGTTATTGTTTAAGTTTCTAGATTGGGACCAACAGTTGGTTTGATATTAATGGTTGAAGATCCTAAATGGTATGATGAAGACTCAATATGAATCCATTCTTATTTTTATAAACTTCGGGAATCGCGCCTATTTGTGTTTTTATTCTTTTCTTTGTACTTAAACACACCTCATTCAGTTTATTTGAATACTATTCTACTATTAATATCTTATTTCTACAATTACCACTGACTTAAAAACATACTTTCTTAATTCTTACTCAGTTTCGTGTTGATTTATCCATGTGCAACAGCATCAAAAATAATATGGGGACTGCGGTAACCGAAAATAAGACCTATCGAACAATTTTGAAGCACTATGTCTCATAAATGTGCAGAACAAACTTCATTTCTAGCCCAATATTTTACATCCAAAGTAATTTTCCGACAGGATTGAATATAGTCTAAACAATCATATGCCTTTGTGACTTCATCTGATATACATTATCAACACGTACATTTATCCAAAAACTCAGATCTTTTTCAGTTATTTGTGGCTGAAGCTGACTACAGACATAGGCTTTCAATTATCTTTTAACATTAATTTACAGTTTGAAGATCGTAATTAAAAGTAAGGACATTATAACAATACCTGACGAAGTTTATATCTGATGAACACCAGGGTTGAATGGAATATAATCCTTAAATTATACGTCAACGTTTGACCTGAAAATGTTGATTGTTAAGCTTTCATTAATTTAGATGATATCATCAATACCAATCTCTAGTAGAAACAGGTTTTAGGGAATTCCCCACAATTATCAAATCAATTTGCTTCAATAATATTGTTTATGATTGGTTGACCTCAGAAGTTTTGTTACGTTCATGTGTGTCTGCATTCTCAACCTCTGTTTCTTTCGAACGGTCTTTTATCCTGTTCTTGATTAACCTTTACTGTATCTGTTTTATGACCTGGATGGAGACTATGGAGTTTGAAATAATCATATAATGACGCACATAATTTTCAGCCGAACCCGCGGTATTGTCCAACTAACTATCCGACCCAGCCCTTAAAAATTGAGAACCCAAAGAAATTAGACGTTTTATTACTACCCTGTCGAAAATATTAGTGAGAAACATGTAGGTATTCTTAGAAATCCAATGTTCTTGAAAATCAGCCCTTAGAAATGCTACTTTCGACGACCGGAGTTTAGCTATATAAGGATGTCTTAGAAATTTGCGGTAGCGGTTCAAAAAATCCTTTTCAAACTTTCTCGAGTCCAATCATTGGGAAACGGTTTATTTCCAAATAGTTTGTTGATAGATAGTCCCAGTCAACATACTGATTAATCGGAGATTGTTTTGAAATTATTTATTATATTAGACGTTTTTATCGTTTCTCTATCATTTTCAGGTTTACCATACAAAATCTATGATATCTTGCTGTCCAAACGTTTATGCGTGGTTGTCAATGCGGATAATGTTTCTTGGAGTTTGATTATGGGAATAATGTCTGGTGTAACGCCTCTTTAATTAACGTTGAATTCATTTTCTTTTGTTGTTACATTCTCTAGCCTAAATAATGTAAACATCTTTTGACAGTTATCCTGCCAGTTACTTAGTCCTAAATTTCTAATGGCACTGATGGATTTCCGACATTCATTTTTGCTGCTACTCAGATTATCACTGAAATATTGTTAATAACTGTTGCATTTTTTAAGTTACGTAGAGTCTGTTGCATTGCTAATAATTCTTTTCGTAGATATTTTCATGCTTGGTCGAATCTGTATGTCATTTGATGTCATTTTGGATTGATCATTGATGCAGGCTTTTGCCAACTCAGCTCTGGAGCATTTTTCAATATAATCCTGGAACCAGTTATGTGAGGACTTTTCAGTGATACAAGGAAATTCCAAAAATAAGTGAAGTGTAGGCAGTATCGTTATCACCACCTAAGTTCTATGATTGTATTTAAATAATGCAACTAATGATCACTATGTTTCTAACTTCACCCCTGTTATTAGTCTTTATAATATGTATTTAAAGCTTCCATCTGAACTTCTCATAACGTTGTTTGTGTGATATTTACTTTAGCCAATCAGATCTTTTCTCTCTATATTTATTTTTGCTTTTAGCTGTTTGAAATGCGGTTTCACATCCCGGTTACCTTCAAAATTTTTAGAACTATCCCTGAAAGTTTCTTCGAAGTCACTTCCAGATTGTATACGGGATTATTTAAAGGTGATGTTTATTTTATCTTAACTACATGTATAAACAGTTTAAGTTGGCAGTGATTAAATGCATGGGTCGAGTAAAGTCATTCTCCGATTGCTAATTAAGATTCTTTTGTGTAAGAAGTATAGAGTTCATTCTTTCGAAAGAGTACCCTATTGATGTTTTTTGTTAAGAGTATCATATTCCTTGTAATCTACAAGGTTGCTAGCATATATCTGGATTGCTCTTTATTATGTCGTGTGATTAGTTCAGTAAAAATGTGTCGGAGTAAAACAATAGTGCAGCTGTATCGTTCCAGTTTGTGACTCCTCAGCAATGTGGATCCAGGAACTTCCGGGTTCGCACATAACGCGTTACATTATTTTCTATTCCCCCTGTTCGTCAGAGAAACGAGAGATGATTACCATAAAATTCGTACGCCAAGTGTATTCAACAATGAAAAGAGGTACGATGGGGCAAGACTGATCGTAGATATATGTGGTTGAATATAATTACATTCTGATATATGTTTAAAGACTTTTTGTACATATTTTTCAATATTTATGAACTAAATGCTTATAAAACAGCAGTTCGGTTGTAAATTTGCATATTTTCTGCTGAAAATCCTTTTATATATTTAGACTTATGATACTGAACAAATCAAATATTGTTGTTATTATGTAACTTAAAAACATTCACGGTTTTCATCTGAATACGTCCTTTTTAAACAAGTCCTACTTCATTTTAAATGTGGGTTTCAAATAATGAATGAAATCGGTTTATATCATTGATCAGTCCTGGGGCTTTCCATTTAGGTTACCTGAAAAGGCTCTTTAACTCGATAAGTTACCGAATTCACCATGAATAGTTACAAACTTTTAAAAAACGATTACCTTATATGAGTATGCGCATATTGTCTCATGTACGAATGAATGTTCATGTGAAGTTAATCTCTGTTTGATTGCTTATTTTCTGATCTCATTGTTTTAATTTATTAATTCAATGTCGTCATCGTTAGCTGTTTTCCCCTCTAATGAATTCATCATATTTATTGTTTTCTATAGGAAGAACAATTAGTTGGTGATAATCGATATGCTTGTTCACAGTGTGGTTGCAAACGAGATGGTATTAGAAGAGCCTATATAACACGTGCTCCGCCATTGTTATGCATCCAGTTGCTTAGATTCACTTACGATTCAAACACTGGTCAACGTAAAAAGTATAAAGCGTCTATTCGTCTACCTGATCTTCTTGAGTTAACAAGAGTTGTTGAAAATCCAAAAAGTAATAAACATCCGAATTGTGAGCATTCTGTGGAATGTTTGAGTGTAGATTCAGGTATTATTTATAATTGTTTTATAAAATAGCAATATATATATATATATATATATTGAAATAACATACTTCTATTTATCAAACCAATTTTTGCATTCTAATGGAATTCAAGTATAAAATAATACGACTTTATATGTGTGTATATCACTGGTTTGAACCCCGCTCCACTTTTTCGATTTACGTGATCGAGTAATATCATTGTCCGTCGTATACAAACAGTATTGCCCGAAACCATGTACATTGGCCTGTATTTGGCACACCAGTCATAACATATAACTTCTAGTATACAGGAAAATTGCACATAAATGTTATCATTATTATCAACTGATCAACCACGTTCTTGACTTTGAACCACGCTATAGGTTTGAGGGCCGGTGATGCTATCTGGTTTTCCAAACCGAATTAGATGGAATGGCTTTTGAACTTGCTACTTAGTAGCTTAAAATCAAACCATTTAATCACTCAACCATCACTCCACACACAAACAAAAGTTGTCATAGAAAACAATTGTATAATTGATTATGTGTATCAGAAAAATGTTACAATTACAAAGGTTTTCTGAAATGATCCATGTTAAAAAGTTCGAATTTCCTTCAGACAACCAGCATGACAGCGATGCTGCCTTCCCACAAGGAGGGGTGGGGCTAGAAAAGGTCGACCCTAAAAATGCACACCTCGCCTTATCCCACGGATTTCCGTCTCCGGCGGTAAGGACTTTTGAAGAACGGAGCTAACACGTCAAAAATCCCCCACAAAAAGACCGTGCGTGACCGGCCACAAGCAGATGTCCCTTGGGCATTGCGGTCACGCTCCCAGGTCGTTAAGACCAACACTAATCCAACTTCTTTTTCAGGTCCCTCAAGAAATACCCTTCCACGGTGTGGGCAGCCGGGAAGTGATAAAAGATGAGTTCTACAGGAAACTTTCTGACCTTCTCCGAGAAGCTAGGCGTTCTGATGTAGTAATAGTAGCAGGTGACTTTAATGCTCAAGTAGGTAAACTAAATGAAAGGAAAAGACACCTGGGTGGTGTCATGGCGAAAAGAACAGATAATGGCGACCGTCTGTTGCAGCTATACTCAGATAACCGCCTATTTCTTGCAAATACTAACTTTAAGCATAAGGAAAAACATCTTTTGACATGGCGACCACCGAATTCGTCCCAACGTTGGACCCAATTAGATCACATCGCTATCAGCCACCGGTGGAGGGGCTCGATAGAAGACTGTCGTTCATTCTGGGGCACATGTTTAGATTCATATCACGCTCTAGTGCGAGCACGTATCTGTCTGCGTCTTACTGGTCGTAGGAAAGACACTTCAGGGAAGCCTCTAAAGGTTCTACTTAATGATAGGCAAGCTAAGAATATATTTCAGGAACAACTAGAAAAACAGTTAGGCAGCCATGTAAGTTGTGTCCACCCCGAGGCAGCGTGGAATGACATCCGAAAAGCTGTGGAAACAGCAGTGATATCCGCTAGTAAAGTAAACCATAACGTTAGGGAGAAACAATGGATCTCGGCAGCATCTACCGCACTGATAGATGCTCGTAAACTCATCCCACCTGGCTCTGAACATAACGAAGAGCGGAGTCAACTTAAGCGCAGGCTGGTCCCAATCACTGATTGTGCCAGTCTATAAGAAAGGACAAAAGTCCTCCTGTGACAATCACAGAGGAATCAGTTTGACTAATATAGTGTCTAAAATATTAGCTTCAATAATACTAGGTCACCTAACCAAAGCTCGTGAAGAGCAGACTAGAGAAAACCAAGCTGGTTTCCGACCTGGACGTGGTTGCATAGACCAGATATTCACCCTACGTCAGGTCCTAGAACATAGACACAAATTCAGACGTCCCACAATCGTAGTATTTCTTGACCTTAAGGCGGCATTTGACTCCGTTGATCGTGAGGTTCTATGGCAGTGCTTGTCAGTGAAAGGAGTACCAAAGAAGTACATTAACCTCATAAAGGCTCTCTACTTGAACACAACTGGTCGAGTTAGAGCCTATGGCGAACTGTCATCAGAACTGATTACCACAAGTGGTGTTCGTCAGGGCTGTCCACTCTCCCCATTCTTGTTTAACTTTGTCATTGACATACTTTTAGAGATAGCACTTTCATCAGCTAAACCTCCAGGAGTTGAACTTTTACCAGGAGGCTCACTTGTTGACTTAGAATACGCCGACGACATAGTTTTACTCGGCGAAGACGCTGACAACATGCAGAGTCTTCTGATTACTATAAGCAACTATGCAGGCATGTTCGGGATGCGATTCTCTCCCTCGAAGTGCAAAATGTTACTTCAGGATTGGGTTGCATCGACACCTGAACTAATGATAGGGAGTGAAGCAGTTGAGCGTGTTGACAGCTTCACTTATCTTGGGAGTCTCATCAGCCCTTGTGGTCTAGTGTGTGTGACGAAAACTCAGCACGGATACAGAAGGCTCGTCCAGCTTTCGCCAACTTGCGTCATTTATGGCGTAGGCGAGATATCCGTCTAGCAACCAAAGGACGGGTTTACTGTGCAGCAGTTCATTCCGTCCTACTTTATGGCAGTGAAACATGGCCAATAAGAGTAGAGGATATTCGTAGGCTACTAGTGTTCGATCATAGGTGTCTTCGAAGCATTGCTCGTATATCCTGGGACCACCGGGTAAATAATGCAGTTGTTAGGAAACGAGTACTAGGTAAGGATGGCAAATCGATTGATGAAGTAGTGAAACTTCATCAGTTGAGATGGCTGGGACATTTGTTATTTATGCCCGACCACCAACTGCCCCGACGTGCAATGTTTCATGGTGTAGGAGTAGGTTGGAAGAAAGCTAGGGGTGGCCAGACCAAAACATGGCACAAATCAATGAAGTCACTGACAAGTGGACTGGGCCATGTTGGTAGGTGTAGACTACCTGGTTGGGATTCGCGAGATGACAGCAACCGATGGTTAGAGACCTTGAATGACATGGCTCAAAATCGTTTGCAATGGCGAAGGTGCATCCACTCTTTGTGTTCTGCCAAATTCTAATCTTCTGAATCCCTCATGTCTTTATCTTTTTCTTTTTGCAAATTTATTTCACTGTACTATACTCCTTCAATAATTTCTTCAAACCCTAATCTTTTGGATTTCTGATTATACTCCAACTACTTCTACCACTATGGGATTTGAATCGACAACTGTATCTCTGTGCTAATGTGGTATGGCAACTCGAACTGATGTACGTACGTACGAAGTTCTACGTTGTGACTGACTGAATATGGCGATTACACTTTCCGTGTTTATCCAATCATGAATGTACATTCTATGTCTATTTAGATGTCACTTATTTATTTGGACATATTGGTACAAAGGAGCACCGAATACATATGCGCCACACAAGTCACTTGGTTTGTGTGTTGGATGTGGTACTACCAGGGTGCCCAGACCGAAGCAGGTTGTTTTTTAGGGGGTCACACACGGAGCCTTCGACCTGAAGGTCTAATCCACAAGGCAATGGAGCAACGTAAGGAGATGCAGTCTCATGGTAGCCAGTGACCAATAATTGGTTCGTACTCCATTTGTTCCTTCAGGATCTTGAAGCCCATGTGCACTATTGATTTGGGATCAGGGTTTTCCAACTCCCCGGTTAAAGTACCGGACATTCGCTTTTCGTCCTCTCAATTTTTGTAAACAACACTCCCGCCGCGAGATGGCAGCGAGTAGGACTTCTTTGACAGTGGCTGTATACGCGTGGCCGTGTGAGAGCATTTCGAGAAGGAAAGCGAACTCTCCCCACCCTCGGCCGTACCAGGGCATTTGGGGGCCATTGTTATACATATAAATGTCAACACAGTCATTCCGAAGATTCGCAATCATGATTGTGTGTAATATTCACGCACGTTTCTGTTACTACTTCTACTCTGGTATTTGCCTTGTTAAGTTCATCTTTTTTTCTGCTATTGAGGTGTGAGAACTTGAATCAGGGCACATGCATAAGCCAAGTTCTATATTGCATGTGACTGATTGAGTGTAATGTTCACTGTTGCTGCTAATAAACTACCATTTAGATAATTACTTTTATTTTCATAAATCTCCACAAAAACCCCTTTCAGTTACTTTTATATTTATTTCAGATCCATGTTATCGTGCATATCGTCTCTGCGGTGTACTTTTACATATTGGCAACCAACCAACATCAGGACATTATATAGCTGTTCTTAGAGATTCTTACAAAAGAACCAATTTATCTGATGATAAAAACACAGAATTAAGTACTGAAGATGATCCTCTTTTAAAATTGGGTGAATGTTGGAGTGTTTGCAATGATATAGATGTAAGTGTTGTGAACAAGAATAGGTGGGGACGATCAATTTATATTTTAAACAAAATTATAGAGTTCTTTGGTAAATTGTGGAAACCATTTATTAAATACTTCATTTGAAAATATCCATCATTTATCCTTCACATTCTGTATGATTCTTACAATTCACAATTCTTTTCTATCTGCGTTTCTGTTCTTCTCAACGTGATCTTCTTAGTCTTCTGCTGCCAGGTTTTCCATTTCCGATTGGTGTTACATACTACTTATGTTGACAGACATAACTAGCCTAAACCACATAAGCAATTTTCCTACAGTTTACTCAGGAATATTGTTAGTTAACTATACTATTGTTACCAATCACTATTATTTCGGAAAGTAACATTAAACGTCGAAATGAAACCATACAACGTCGTAACTGATAAATATTTTCAAATGGATTTTCTATTATTTACAGTACCTTTACTAGTCATTCACTCTTTTTCCTTATTTCAATTTAAATCACTTAGTATCTTAACTGGATTCCATATGAATTTGACACATTTAATACACTCGTTTAATAGTCTAAATAGGCTTTCAGCAAAACAATTCAGTATTTAGGTGCAGTTTCCATTTATTCAGCATAAGGCTGCGTTTTTTTATTTCCAGGTTAGATAATACGATTTCGGATTTAAAAATATGTCTCACTTATTGGAACTCATATGTTTCAACTGTTAAATCATGCACTCTGTATACTAGTTATGCATTTAAATAAGCTTTGCTCAAATTTATTCACCAATTTCTACTCCTTTTTCTATTCTCTCATATAATAAATACAGAACTTATGTTTTTTCTTTCAAGGTCTTCAATGTACCGTCAAATCAATTTAAATTGGCAAAAATTAATGGATCAGCTAAATCATTGCAAACCTATTTAACCACTACTGAAACAACAGATTCATCAATAAACCTTACTAAATCTGATCAACCTTATGAAAAGTGTTCTAATCGTAGAGCAGCTAAAAAACGTCGTCATGATACTTCCTCAAATGATCTTAGTTTCACTGACCTCGATGAAAGTAGAGATTCTACAGCTCCTAAGTGTATATCACAGGACGATTTATGGCATAGTTCAACTAATGCGTATATGGTATTTTATGAATCGGTGGATAATTGTGATTTGGATGAAGGTAGTATAATTAGTATATTCCTTTGTATAAAAATTGATGTTTACTATGTGAACCCTTTTTATAGTTTCTATGTACATCATAAACTCAATTACATCACTTACATTAGTAAAACAGCCATTAAAAACCAAATAACTTTAAATAGCTATTCCTATCCTAATGTGAGACTCGGCAGTGCACATCGAAAACTCTAATGGGGGGTCGAACTCAGGACATACAAATCTCGTACCGAGTCCTTAACTTCTAAATAACAGAATCAACATCCACTTGCTTGAATTTTGAATCTTACTCGATTCGTCGTATTGCACAACCATCTCTTAAACTCATCCATTGTTTAGTAACTGCTACATATCTGAAATAATTGAACTTCACCAGTCATGGACTCTCACTGAAACTCGGGGAATCATTTCTTGAAATTAGTCATTGTTGAGCACATAATTGAATCAACTATCACAAATATAAAATCATGTCTATTTACAGATGAAGTAGTCGAAATGTAAACGAATGATGGCAGTAGTTATCGAAATATAATAGTGATTCACTCTCCATGAATAATTCTGTATCTCATATATTTAAGTTTAGATGATTGTTAGTAATACCTTTCTGTTTTATTCATAGCCATTTTAAACAAAGTTCTCAAATATATAGATTACTTATGTTCAAATAAGCCATGTGTTCCTTAGTGTTATAATTGTTTTGCTAATAAACGACCCAGCTACTCTTATCGCTTAGTATTCTTATACGATGACACTCGAAAAGACCCCCAAAATCAGAACACGTTGAACAGGAACGAAATTGTATTCAAAATAACAAGGGCAATCTTATCAAGTTATAAACGAACTTAACGACTAGAAATTTTGAAGTTTCAGTTATTTCGGTGTTTGCTACATCGGCTACTTTTACTATTTTAGATATGTACCAAAATAGAGTACCAGTTTCAGATACATATCATAATCTTCTACTTTATGAATCGTGTTTCGCAAACAAAACATCGCTTTAGTCGTTATATGTTTACAACTTATCGCTCGAAATCTTTTTGTTCATCTAAGATTTATCAAGGCAACGTGCATGTTGGCACGTTATATCAAGTATAGCATAAATAGTTGGAATACGTATACTCAGGTGATTCCATATGGTAGTCGAGTGAGAGCTTATGGCGAACTGTCATATGATTTGACAATCTCAAGTAATGTCCGTCAAGGCTGTCAAATATCTCCATTTTTGTTTAACTTCATTATAGACCTGTTGCTGGAAATAACACTCTCGTCGACTGAATTTCCTGGAATTGATCTTCTACCAGGAGGTTCACTTATCGACTTAAAATACGCAGATGACATAGTCCTGTTTGGTGACGACGCTGTCAAAATGCAGAGTCTTTTGTTAGAACTGAGTAATAATGCCAGGATGTTTGGGATGTGTTTCTCCCCATCCAAATGTAAATTGTTAATCCAGGACTGGCCTGCGTCAACACCTGAACTAAGGATAGGGAGTGAAGTAGTTGAACGCGTGGACAACTTCACTTATCTCGGAAGTCTGATCAGCCCTAATGGGTTGGTGTCTGACGAAATCTCAGCACGGATTCAAAAAGCTCGTTTGGCTTTTGCCAACTTACGTCACCTATGGCGTACACGAGATATCCGTCTATCAATTAAGGGACGAGTATACTGCGCATCAGTTCGCTCTGTTCTAATTTACGGCTGTGAAACATGGCCATTAAGAGTAGAAGATACTCGTAGGTTACTAGTATTTGACCACAGATGCCTTAGAAATATTGCTCGCATCTGCTGGGATAACCGGGTAAGTAATAGTGAGGTTAGACGCAGGGTATTAGGGAACGATGGTAAATCAGTTGATGAGGTGATGAATCTTCATCGACTGAGATGGTTGGGCCATGTGTTACGTATGCCTGAACACCGATTACCACGACGCGCTATGATGACTAGTATTGGGGACGGTTGGAAGAGAGTTAGGGGCGGCCAAACCAAAAAGTGGAATCAGTGCTTGAAATCACTAACTTCTGGTCTGAGCCATATTGGTGGTTGCAGACTACCTGGTTGGGGTCCGCGTGACTATCGTAACCAATGGTTGGAGACTCTGGGTGACATGGCTCAGAATCGATCACAATGGTGTGGGTGTATACACTCTGTCTTTCGATAAACCGTGAGATTAAAATTACACCTTTCATCCTACGAAGTAATTCTTTCTCCCTGTATCATATCCTTATATGCAATCTTTCTTATATATATTACTACCATTGAAGCACCTACTTCTATGAATATGGTGTTCATCTTGTTGTGCTATTGAGGTGTGGCAACTTGGACCAATGCATATATATGCCTGGTCCTACGTTGTAGCTGACTGATTAATGTTGTGGATTTGAACCCCGCTCCACCTGCTTCTGTTTCACTCTAACCTATTTAGAATGTGACTCAAAACCCAGTTTAGTAATCAGTGCCTGGTAAATGAATGTTTTTAAAGAAAAATCTCCTTCAAGAACTAAAGAAATGTAAACATCAAACTACTTGATTGTTACTAAGAAAGTATGTTTTGCAACGGTATCCGTATTGTATTTGAAAGATAATTTTACATAAATGACCTTATAACAATTTACTATTAAATTATTTTATAAGTTTTTTTAAAATTTTTATTCACACATAAATTAAAATTAGTTTATATTTGACTAATTTCATAAATATTTCCATATTTCTCGCTCCTTATAGATATTGCAGTTCCTAGTGACCTACGCAAAACTATTGAAGAAGTAAATTTAAATGAACAACAAAAGCTTATATCTGAACAACAAAATAAAGTATGTTATTGCAAAGCTTTTCTCCTAGCTATACATATTAGTTGATATGTTTATAATTGTAATTAGAAAATTCAAAACGTGACATTTAGCAAACAGATTTTTTTTCCAACTAATGTGTCATGAGAAATGAAGTCTCTAAAAAAATATAAACCATGAATAAATGGGATTTAATGTATTAATCTCAATGTTTATTGCTTTATTCCTAATGAATTGATCAATTTTAATGAAAGTAAAGATCACTGTTTAAAGGACAAATTATGTTGAATACAGTATTAATTGAATTACCATTCAAACTTCAGTCCAGTCCTCTTATCTGTTTTGCCTTGGAACTCACTGTTAGAGTAACATTTTAATTTTTGGATTTTGTCAAGTTTTATCCTTTAACCTATTATGTACCATCAAGGACTGCACAGCTATTCCGTGCTATTTTAAAGCTTCACAACAATATGCTTCTGTGCTCTTAAAGATAATAGAAATTAAGAACCTAGAAAATATATTTCACAAGAATATAGTGACTATCATTAATTGTGTTACTTTTGAAAATTTTGGCATCGATGGACACTATCATTTCATTAACTACTTATTTATCGATATCATCGATTTATTGAAAACATTTTTGATTTCATGCTTCACATATTGAAGTAAATATGTGATTTCACGAGCTATTTTTAACAGTTTTGATAAGCTTTCTTACTTTGCAAAGCAATATTCATAGGATATGTATTAAGTTGATAGCAGGTTGGTGGTTATTTGTCTTTCCGGAGAAATGCATAAACTAAGATTATTTGTAACAATTGCCATTTTAGAAAGATTATGTTCAATTTTCCCCAATCATCTACATAACAATAGTTCTTTTTCTTCTGACAGGTAAATCATAAAAATCAATTACTTGAATTACTATCCAACTTGAAATTACCTGATCCTATCAATTTCTCACCAAATAATCATACACTGACATCAATAAATCCTCTTGATGATGTATCTTTGGTATCAACATCTTGGTTACATGATTGCCTTAATAATCCGTTGTTATTAGATGTCTGTTTAACTGATGCTCAAATAAAATCGCTTTCAAAACTCAAAGACTACATATTTCCTTCTTCTTTACCAAATCAATCCTCTTATGCCCTACGTACATGTTCACATGGCCGTGTTCCTATTGATCTTGCTGCAGGTTCATACAGGGCTGTTTCTACCAAAGGTCTTAAGAAGCTTATTGACATTCTCTTCTCAAAATCATTTGACGCCATACAATCCGAAGATGCTAGGTATACAGTTTTGTTATATAACGATCTCATATTTATTATTATTGTTATACACAATGTACAAGTAACCTGCTGTTTTGTTAAATACTCATTATTTTCAGTAAGGGGAGTCGTGGGGATTGTAGTATTTTTAACAGTTAAATTCACGAGTCGATCTAAGCTAGACCACCATTGGAAACCTGGAAGCACCGGACGGTCATTCCGTCCTAGTATGGTACTCCTCAGTAGTGTGCATCCACGATCCCGCGCACAGAACTTTCAGTCTCGCACGCGAACGCTTAACTTCTGGTTTGTGTCGTGCTTTCAGACTACACTGATTATTATTTGCTAGTCTATTAATATATTAAAGTATTCATTCATTTTAATTGATAGGTTAAGAAAGAAAAACATCCTTATAAGATGGATACAATTTAAAATATCGTCTCTGGAATACTTCTTTTTTATGGAAATCCAATTTTCTTATATAAATGTATAATAATATAATCATCTAATAATTGCTTTCCAGGTTTGATCAATTTCAACCATGTCGAAAGTGTATAACATTAAATATCGCATTATTAAAAGTTGAAAATGCAATTAAAGAATTATCTAAAGAATTGGATTATTTCATAAAATATAATCATTTATCTTCCTCATATTATAAACGTCTTCAAAGTGAAAAGGTAAATATCTATATTTTTTTAATTACTGAAATATATAATTCTTTTCAATCATTCTCTAATGTTCTTTATCTACTGAGTGATTGATGAACTCTTCGCTAATATATTCTAGTAAACGTCTTATTTCTTTCTTATTGGCGTATTCTTTTAGCTAGATACCTAGTCAAATCTTAGTTCAATAACTCTTAGATAATTAGTATAATTTTCAATTTATCGACAATTACTTCACATGGTACAATAATTTGTCTTTTCCGGTGTTCATGAAACTTAGTTGAAAGTTGTAAATGCATGTTTCATCTTTTTTTGCATTCTTGTGAATATAATAAATTAGGTTTGATCGCCGAACATTAAATATAATATAAAGTCATCGTTTATCATATTTAATTACCAATATTTCAAACTTAACTTATTCCTTGATATTTAATTCATTTTAATAGTAACAAATTAGAAACGTAATACAACTACACTTCTTTTTTTCACTATGCATCAGACCTCGGGAACTATTAGACGTGTGTGGGAAGTTGTCACTTTCCAGGTGCTTACAATGTGAAAGAATACTTTCCGGGGTACCTTGAAAAGAAACTGAATTAGTAGTGATCTTGGCGACATGGGAGTATGAACAGAGAGCCCAAAAGACAACTACTTGGGTCCGGTCATACTGTGGTTTGTGCTACTGATGTCGATGGATATAAATAGTATGTATCATGAATCAAGTGAAATGCCTGGCGTCAGAAGTTTGGAAAGATTAAAGAAAAGAGAATGAGAACAGAGAATGTTTGGTGGGGAAACGAAGGGATAATTAAGTCTGAGACAATTGATTGACATTTTGAAAATGAAGTATTTACTGTATGGTTCTCAAATTTTACTAAGAGATTCTGTAATTCTGTATTTAAACACATTCGGTTGTCTCCACTGATGTTCTCGTTCACAATAATACCACAGTCTTTTTATTAATAGTTCTTATGAGTTCTTCAAATTATGAGTTCCTAATAGAGGGTAGGATTTTTTATTCTTTTAATAAAGTACCAAAAACTCTAATTAAAGCATAATAATTTGGCTTAAACTATTCCATTTTTCAACTATCATACTTCTATTCTGTTTTCACTGTATACGGTGTAGTAAATTGAATTTAGTAATAAAAATGATAATAATAGTATTGTATTGGCTGATAATGGCTTAATGGTCAATGTTTCAACCATGGAATTGCAAGTTCCAACCTCTTGTCTCATCTGCTTTATGTTTAAGCAGTTAGGTGATATCACTGGCTATCTGTGGAACCTAAGTCTGTACATAGGCTAAATGCTTCGAATTCCTAAAGATACATTGTTGAAATGATTTATTTCTGTCATCTATTGTTTTCAAGTTTATGCTAATATATTCCTTTGAATTTTTAAAGACAGACTCAATTCCTTTAAATCCCGAACCTGGATATTATTTAATTGGTAAGAGATCTCTTCGTCAATGGAAAACACTTGCACGTCATTTCACACGAGCTTTTTACTCTGATTACGATGATGATTCTAAGTCACCGACAACTGGTCATCATGCGCAAACAACATTTAATCATGATATTCTTTGTCCTCACGGTCGAATTTATACAGAGAATACGTGTCATTTACCAGCCATACTTTGGCATAAATTAGTCGATTTATTTCCTGATATAAAGATTCCTACATTTCCTATTTATATTCCTTATGATAATAACAATAATACATCTATCAATTCCATTAGTATAATCAGTAAATCAGAGTCATCTTGTTCTGAATGTAACGCAGTACAAAATGATTTGACAGAACGAGCATTATGTGAACGTCAAATGCTTCCTGGTTTATTCTTGTCAAATGTTCAACGTATGCGACTTTTAAACTCTACCAGTCAAACAGTAAATACAGCTGTAAAGATAAAAGAAGACACTTTCAACAAATGCAAATTTAACTTTGAAGGGTAATTTACACTCTTTTAAATTGATAAAATAAATTATTATTTTTCACGATGATGATTTTACTTCACCAACTTATAAATTTAATTTAGTTCTTTGTAGCTATGTAATGCATAAGAATGAGTGGATTTTGTCTTTTAAAATTTTGTGAATGGAAATACATTCTTCTTCTTCCAGGTAAATGGTCTCCATTTTAAGTTCAGATTTAACCAATCAACACTAGCAAATGGATTAAGAAGGCATTAGAATATTCCTGCGTAAATTTTACATAAACTCTGGTGTTTTTTCTCTACGGTCAAATGGTGCTCGTATTTTGGAGTATATTTTCGTTCGCTTCAAAATCATGTTTCATGCTAATCAGTTTCTACTCAAAAAGAGTTATAATTCAGGATCTTTTTTAACTAAGTAGTACTAACAGCGTCCCAGTCAACTTTGGTTTGATTGATTGATCACTGAGTAGTAACTGGTTTCATACTTTTCTGCCCTTTTTATAGGTGATCGAGTTCTATCAACCAGACTGATGGTTACGTTGGGACTTGAACTATAGAATTCAATCATTAATAAATGACTAGACAAGTGTGATATTGATCACTATTTATTGACCAACGAACTGTAAATATTTCGTTCCTACAGATCAGCAGTGACCCGAATAACTCAGTGGTTGGGTCCAAGATTGTGAAATTGTGTGGGGTGGGTTCGAGTCCCACAGAGAGCACCATTTCCTTCAATGCACAAAAGTTTCGCCGGTGCGTTTAAATTAATACGAAAATCAAGTCCAGTATTTTCTGTTGACCATCTCAAACCACCTAATTAATTAACCTCAACGTTTGTCATTGAATAATCTTTTCTAATATGCTTTTAGTTACTAATGTTGCTTATTTATTTACTTGTTTCTAGCGTGAACAATTCTAAGTCAGAAAATTTAAACGGTCATTCTACAGATGCGAGTAAGGAACTAAATAATGTAAATACCAATGTTCTTTACTTGATTCCAATGGGTTTTATTATACAATGGAGAAAATTTATTCGAAATCCAACAGCAGATAATTTACCTAGTTCGCTATTATCTGGTTTTAGCTCGGGTGGCGTGCTTTGTGAACATGGTCAAGTAATGAAATTAATTTTCACAACTCTATTATATGGTTTTGTTTAAATGAAATGAAAACTACTTGAATGATTATAATAAACATACCCATGTACACCTTCTCACGTGTTATTATTATTATTAAGCAAACAGATCGACATGAAATTGGATCATTTTTTACAACTAATCTATTTTGTGCATAGTCTATTGAAAATTGAAGAATGAGTGGTTAAAAAATTCTGAAATATTGCATCCTAGGTCAAAACGGTATTCACGTAATTCGGTTTTAGGCAGTCTGTTGGTACATTTATCCCTCACAAGTATAGCTCAATTGCATAATATACGTTAATAGTAATGATTTCTAGAACCCTAACTAAATCTGCTTGTTATTAGATATGTGCATAAAAAGGAAAATATTAGAAAATGACATGCTTAATTGTTGCATAAATTTCAAAAATGGCTCCATGTAAACACAGTGATAGCGAAGAAGAATGCAATCATTTAGTCAATTCAAATGCTTCAGTTTGGACTAAAATGTTCAGTAGTGATGAGCTCTTAAATAAGCTATTTTAATGGTGAAAATTTTCAACTTAAATGTTGTGTACATATCAACAAATAAAGTTTTTGAACTAAACAATTTAAAGTTTAAGTGGCACGAGCTTCGAAGTCTTTCTATGTTTATGAGGAAGGATGATTTATTTATTACCAAAAGGTTTTGGGAGGTCGTTGAAATATCAGCATGGAAAGTCTTCCATCCTTGTTTTACTGCTACAGTTTCTCCTTTTATCGGTCTTTGAATTAACCAAATAAATTGTTTACTAACTGCAAATTTAATCAGAACTTATTAATTCGATAACTCCAACCTTACCATCACGTAAATTAATTTGTCAGCTGACAAGCATGTCTCTGGATTCAAACAAATTCGTCAACGTTTTATACATAACTCTCAAACAGCTCCAAACAATCTTCTCTTCCTCTCTTATCAGTCAACTTTACAAAGTGTCATGCACAAATTTTCCTGTTGTCACTAGGTGTATTGTATATCATAATACTTCCATACATTCAGACCTACTTACATAGCTCTGGACAAAATTTATCGTAAACTATATCCATCAGTGTCACACGTTAGCCAAACCAGCCACTACTTCACTTCGAGTTGATGAGGATACGATCAGATGTTTTAAACTTGATAAGCTTTCCCTTTACTCTTCTACAAGTTCACTTGTCGCTGTCTACCTCGACAATAGTATACGAGTCGTTTTGAAAAATGCTAACAGAACACAAACCGAGACTTAACACTAGTCCATTTAATTACTACTTGTCTATATAAACCATGTTCGTAGATACAAATTACCTGCTTAGTGATCAGTTGTTGGAGAACTCGGATAACATAGTTTTAAACCAGTAACGATATCGCAGATAGATCCATTCCTTAACTTTTTCTAAATCTTTAGATTTGGTACTATCATAGAGTTTTTCTTGTCCCTTCTCGAACCATATTCTCAATGTTTACTGTTTCTTACTGCTATTCACTCCTATATTTATCTTTCTGTGATTATTTAGTGGAACCATATGAGTTTATATGTTTTTGCACTGGGTTCTACCTTTATTTATTACTAACGATACAGAGACTTTTATCACTACCCTTGTGTGAAGAATCACACTGGTAACGCATTGAGTACCTAACTCTCTACCGCACATTTAATCAAAAGCTAAAGAATAACATAACTAATGGTATCTGTTATTTCCTTATGCCCTGCGAATGTAACACGTAATGAGATTACCAATTAGACACCGACTTATACGACCAGACCAACGACGCACAAACCACTACTAGCAGCATAGAATTCCTATTAGTCCTTCGAGATAGTAGCTTCTCTCCTAACTCAGCCTGTTCAGACCAGAACGCCACTATCAGCCTCCGCTATGCGAATTATTTGTTTCAGACATACTAGGTTTATTTGGAAACAAACGAGACAGTGTCATACCATAGAATAGAAAATCACAATCATACAAGATCAAGCCAAAAAGTGACTGATAAACTGTTGCTAATAAATTCGAAATATCTTAAGAATAGTAAATCGTATAATAATAGTCAGCAGGTCAAATAAAAGCTCGTAATAAAAGGAATATGAATATACATGTAATATAGTTACTTAATAGTTGTACAACAAGAGTATGTATAATAGATCCTAGACGTTACCATTCACTTATTCTTTGTCCGGATATAACAGTATCAGTAATAGGTGTTTCAACCAAAAGGATAAAAATTCCTTTAGTCCTCCAGTTACCTCTATTCTGTAATCGGTTAAATTCATCATCCTACACACATCAGATCAATGTAAAATCCTCGTATACAACTGTATTCATTTCAGTTGAAATATCGTTTTTTACTCCGCTTCATAGTTTAATTTAATCATTATTTAGAAACCAACTTCCGGTTGTTTATATATATATATATATATATATATATATATATATATATATATATAATTGTGTTTTCCCAACAATTCGTTTTCTTGTTTTTAATAATTAATTTCAGATGCTAAAAACATGGCAAACTCTTATAAATGAGTCAACATTGTATCCCTTGTCTTTTTATGAATGGGATGTCTTGTCTCACGCATATCCTCATCGTTTGAAGGAAAACGAAATACCTTCGGATCATGATGGGCTGGAACCAAAAATAACCTATCCAACGATGTATTTACTTCCACAGAATGATTCTGAACTGAAGTGGAGATTGGAGCCATCTTCCTATGGCACTTTATGCCCAAATTGTCAATCTGAGATAACCAATGATCAGATTTTTAATAATGCTAGAATCCGTATACGTCTGGTAACTGGATTTGATGAAGCACTGAGTAGTTGTGTCCAGTCGAAACTCACCTCCGTTCAGGATTCCTTGAATTGTGTGTCACAGGATTTTCGAGCCGACACAGAAATTTGTTCTCAACCAACAGCTGACATCATAATTCCGAACACTTCTGATCAGGTTGGTGCAACACAGACACGGGTTTTGACAGTCGATCCAAAATTAGTATTTGCACCGTATGTCAGACTCCCAACCACAATATTCGAATGCTTTATGGTAGGTATGCAGCATGGGGATAAGGAGCTGTAAAATTTTACTTTACAAAAAGGGACCCCATGTTTTGTCAACATTAGTGTCGTAAATCCTAAGGAAGTAAATTTCATCTTGGTTAGTTTACGTGCTCTCCGTGCCAACTAACCATTAATTTCGTGTTTATTAAGTCTTCATATGCACTATTACAAGCAAACTGCGTTACTTTAACAATAATCATGTTAGTTTATAATTTATTATTTAATAATTTTAAGTTTTTGTTAAATAAACTTGTGAGCATTTTGTGTCGCATGTAATTCAGTGCCCGGTTATGATTTTTTTCGACTATAGTCACCCATTACAAATGATACCTTGTTTGATAACAACTGTTTTTTTAAATGTTTATAATACTATTCTGGTTATAAGTAAAACTTTCTTAAAATACCCAAATATTCTAATTCTTGAAAGAAAAATCGAGATATGCGTTAACAATAAATTTAACAGCTTCGATCTTTGTTATTTCACAATTTTTTCGACGTAATGAGATGAATCTTATTCAAACTGTATGATAATATTACCACAGGTTATTTCGAACAATCTAATCACACATTAACTTGTAAAGATATATATGTGTAGGAAGTAAAAGGTCAAACTAGACTAGATTGTTAGATAAAAGAAAATGGGGTACAAAATAATATAAACCACGATACTCTAGAAAAACCAACTATTTGACTGATTCACCAGATAACTGAGTATAAGCCACAATGTAAGTGTTAAGGCCAATAATACCACTTGGTTGCCCTGACCAAACTAGGGAGAGCAGGATTCGGATTTGGGAATTGGAGGGTTAAAAATCATACGCTTTAACTACCAACCCACCGCTCCACGCCATTCTGGATAACAAAACAATACTACAAGAATCGGTTTGGCGTAAGTATAAGTTGCATTCGAACATATAGGGAGGTGGGTGGGAATTTTTATGTCCTTTACAAGTCAATATGTGGTCGAATTGATATAAATGCGTTACTTTATTGCACTACATTATTCTGATAAACTTGGTCTTCTCATTAGTGATTATCTAAATTTATCAAAGAAACGTTCTTCAAATTCATGTAACATTTGATTTTCTCTTGTACTTCTCATCGTTTTTCCTTTTTTTGAAAAAAATTGTTTTTCTTTTCTTAGGAAATGGATAATTTGAGAGAAATAAAAGATTATTTTGATAAACGATGTAATAATTTAGAATTATTAAATTCTGTTAACAAATATATCACTCCTCGCCCTTCATCAGATAATGAAACTAGTCTAATAGACCAATTACCTCCATCATCCGATCATCATCAACATGTGCTCTATGATAATACAAATGATCAATTATCTAATCATCATTCAGAGTCTTCATCTACGAATTATATTAGACGTTCTACACGTCAACGTTTGAATCCTAAAGATTTATTAATCAAAGTGAATAGTAGTGATACTCTTCTTAATGTGAAAGTACAAATAATGCAATTTTTAGGTGTAATCCCTTCCGATCAACATATTATGTCAAATGTAAGGTTATAATTATTATTTTGTAAATTATTTTATCACAATTGAAATCTTGTTTCCAAAGTATGTTTTTTGTAGAGGGAAAAAGAATGCCGTAATATGATTTATTCTTGTTCACTTATAATTCTTATTCATTTCTGACTTTTTAATCAGAATGAATAAAATATTCTGAACATGTATATAAATTTTGTTGTGATCAGTCATTTGTATTCCACTTTTCGATCATCTAATATACATCATGATTGATGCAAATAAAGTAATCGGTTATTATCAATATCCTTCATTCTATAAATATTAACTTGAAACGCAGTATATAGGATCCTATTTAATTATTACGTAACTATTGGAATTATTTTCGAATATTAATGAATTTTATAAAAGCATATAGTCTATATAGATTTTCATCTAAGAGTATATCTTTTAGTTATTGTTCGTTACTAAATAACGATATCTAAATAATTCTAGCTCCTTCACAGCCCCCAAATGCCCTGGTACAGCCGAGAGTGGGGAGAGTCCGCTCTCCCTCTCGAAATACTCTCACATGGACACGCGAATATATAGCCTCTGCCAGGGAAGTCCTACTTACTGCCTTCTCGTGGCATTACTGTTGTTTACGAAATTGAGAGGACGAAAAGCGAATGTCCGGAGCTTTAACCGGGTTGGTGGACACGAAGCATACATCTGGGGAAGTTAGGAAACCCTGATTCCAAACCAATGGTGCACATGGGCTCCAGTATCCTGAAGGAACAGATGGCGTATGAACCAATCGTTAGTCACCGGTTACCATGGGACTGCATCTCCTTACGATGCTCCACTGCCTTGTGGACTAGACCTTCAGGTCAAAGGCTCGGGGTGTGGCCCCCTAAGAAAACCACCTGCTTCCGTTTGGGCACCTGGAAAGTATCACACAAATCAAATGAGATTTGTGAGGCGCATATATATCTGGTGCTTCCTTGTACCAATATTTATGTGTTTAAATAAAATAAAATAAATAGCTCCTTTACAGAATATCATGTGGTCATAATAGACGATACAATATGTATCATCATATCTTAGTATGCTATGCAAGATTTATTCATTATATGTTTCTCTTTTTCCTATCTCTGTGTAGATATCACATTTTTTGGTCTTATACCCTGAGTTTTTTTCAGGTTCTTTTTTTCGTGTCTAATAATTGCCTTCTTATTTAAATCTGTTAGTGAATTTGTGAAATTTTAACAGATGACTTATTGTAACTACCTCTAAACCTATCTATGCAATAAATTATGTAGTGCTGTTAAAGTCCTGTGTTTTATGAATATCGTTAACTTTTTTTTCAGGGTCTAGAACTTACTGATCATACGAAAACATTACAAGAGTTAGGTATTTGCTCCAAGACTATTCTCTATTTATGGTCAGATGATCCAACATGGGATCCTAATCGAACAAGTTTTGATAATGGTACATTCAAGTTAACGACACAAAAGTCAAAATTAAATAGTCCATGTAAATCAACGTCTGGTAAGTTTTTTTTGAAAAAAAACTTCAACTATTCATGCTAACCTATTATTTTAATTTTTTCTTATATATTCATATGATTATTCTGTATCTTACCGAATTCGCTATCTTAACTTTCACTGAAATCTTATACAAAGTATCCTGCTTAGAATAAAGTTTACTCGTTTAATGATCGGTATTAAGTTCTGAAATTTCAATTTATGTAAATAATAGCTATTTGAAATGAATTCATTGTTTAATGGAGATGATATTGCAAATTAACAGAAACTATTTTTCGAAAAAAAAACGTTAATATTCAATAATTCCCGTCTCATTATTTTTGCATTAGTCTAATTGTCTTCATGAAATCATTATGTAATGTAAGAATAATTTTTCTATAATCCCATCATTTTAGAATATTTAATTTAGTGATTCAATTATAGCTGTTCCACAATCATGTATATATTTTGTAAAATATCATAGTGATGAATTGATTTACATTTTGAATTTTTCTCAACTGTTAATTTGTTTTCATAGTTGAAAAGCATGAGTCAATTGGAGGTAGCTGGACGAAACGGCGGCCGTTCAGTGCTTCCAGGTTTTCCTTGGTGATACTTATAGGACACATGCTTTCAACTATGAAAATATTGAAATTTCCACAAAACCTTTTCTGTTAATTTGTTTATTATTTTTACCTTAAAAAAATTTTAATCCTAAACTAGGAAGGAGTAATCGCTAACTGTTTTAATCCTTTTTTTTGGTTTAACAGATAAAATCTATATACTACTGAGTAACTTAAGAATGGATTTAATCATTTATTCTTTATTTTCCATTCACTCTCTCTTCTTTTCCAACTACTTTCAAATTTATCATACGAACCGTCGTTAAATCAATCAATCATGTGTATAAAATTAACCACTAGTTTTATAATTTAAATAAGGCAAAAAGAAACAAAATTTGCTGAATAACATAAAATTCATTATTATTTTGAATAAATTGAGTATTGGGTAGATTGTTATAAATAAATTATATATTTGTAATATCCAAATGAGTAGAAAAATTAGATTTAAAGCATTTGTTCTCTGAAGAAGTGGCTTGCACTGAGTCACGAAACGTCAGAAAATCTAATTTTTCTACCCATTGGGATATTACAAATATATTAATCTATTTATAAATTCATTATGTTTTATGGCATGTCACCAGTTGCAAACAACCTTAAATTACAACAATAATATTATTGTAAAAAAGAAATTTTTTAAAATTACATGCCTAAATCAATAAAGTTTAATTCACAACAAATGGAAATAACATATTTAACATGTTAGTTAAAAAAATGATTATTGTTTGTATTTCGATAGT